GGGCAATGGTCAGGAAGGAAGGAAGGGTCCAGGTAAGGGGCGGAGTCCGGCGGCCGCACGCGCTCTCCGGTCCGGGGCGCGAGGGGCGGTGGCTTCGTCCTTTTCTCTGCCCACGGCGCTTGAAGGGACTAGATGGCCCAGCATCCTTGCCCCATTTAAACAGCGGCGGTGATGAGGCTCCATTCGGTTCAGGTGTGCCCCATCACACGCCACCAGCCCTGGCTATTTCAGCAACCCTCCTCTCTCACGCACCCAATCCTGTCGGCAGCCTGGCGAAGGGCGGCGATTAAGGGACGGGGTGATGCTGATAATGTTACCATTGCCATGCATTATAAGACTGATGGACTCCAACGGTTGGACTTAAAAATCATCAAATGTGTTCTACTGAAGAAACAAAGTCACCTACATCTTGGATGCCCTGGGGGTAAGCAGATAAACATCAGATTTTCATCTTTGGGTGAACTATCCCTTTAACAATACTGAAACCTTGGTAAATTGAAAGGTTCAATGTTTTTATTAAATAAACGGAACTGGAAACATGCAGCACAATTGCATGCAAATTTCCAAGGGGCAAACGAGATGGATCTGTTAAGCAATATATTGTGAGAGGGCCATGTGTCACCACGTCCCAAATGACTCAAAATAATAAACCACAAAGTGTACAGGTGGATGCTGCACATTGGTGGTGGTGTCATACTGTATGATTGTAAAGGGCTTTGGGTACAGCAATACACAATAAAGTGAGGTATAAATGCCTCACTCATTCATTTATTAATTCAGTCACAATGACGTAAGTGTGCCCTGCCCAGAACGTAAAGTGCAGTGCGAGTGCAGGTCCGTGGGGAGGGGGCTCAGGCAAGGCATTCAGTTAAATGCTTAAAAAAATAGGTCATACCATCTGTTACAATTGGTGAGAACACAACATTCACAAATCTGAATCAAAAGTAGTATCAAATTCCAATAACTATTGTCTCGGTCAACTTGATTTCCAAAAATCAAAGCAGTATTGCGCAGGAGGCAGCAGGATTTAATGGTATTGAGGCCAAGGTCCTTGTTCCCATCATAAACTTTGACTCAACTTGGCTTGTTCTTTCTCGCACTGTATCCATAGGAAATACTAGAGAATACACAAGATGTGTCACTCGTATTGTTTTGAATGGGGAAAAATGTAACGCTCAATATGGCCACTCTATCAAAGAAAGCCCCGCCTTCTGATTAATAGAGCCAATTGCTAATCGGTAAAGTCAGCGCGTCACTGCAGCTATAGAAACAGTCAGCGTTCTGAGACGTGCGGTTAGGACTGCGCATGCGCACTGGCTGGTCTAGCCTGAATAATACGCTTTTTTAATGCTATTTGAGCAAAATAAACAACTTTTATGACACAGATTTTGTCAGATTTCATTGGTAATTTCAAATATGAAATTTAATCGTATGGTTGGTGAACAGTTTTGGAGAATTTGATGGTTCCCCATTCAAAGAGATGAAATGATGATGATCAAAGAGGAGCTGCACTTGCGTGCCTGAGAGGCGTTTCAAAGATGGCTGTCGAATGACATGACTTGCCTTAAAGGGGTCATATGATGCTGCTAAAAAGAACATTATGTTGTGT